TTATTATTTTCAGTGAACATATGATTTTCTAATTGCAAAAAAGACTTCTATAACTAACTTCTGAATTACTTCACTTTTTACTGAATTATTTTGGCAGTCTATAAAATAGAAGGTGAGAAATCAGAATATGTTGTTGTTATTGCCACAAAATTGATTTTGGTGATGCAAAGTCGAGTTAAAGTCAGATGATGGTCAGTTTGTATATGAAACATATGTAGTGTAATTAATGCTGATCATTTCTTAAAATTGAATACCCGCTATGTTGATATTAATATCATATTTTGTGTTGTGTCAAAATATAAATTGATGTGACACAAAAATTATTGATCTGAAATCTGATCTGATCTGGTTTTGATCTGATCTGTTCGGAGCCTTAATGACTCATTTATATTCATTTCTTCATTTAATTTTTTTTTAAAAAAATGAAATACAATCTTCTATTTTGGCATTTTCTTTTTCTAGTGTCTCGATCTGTTTATACAGATCTTCTTAAAATCATTGAAATAATTATTTGCACCAGGAGAACAATGTTTCAGCAAATTCATTATTATTTTTAATTGATTTGACTTTGCCATTAAATCGAAATTGTTTACTTTTTACTCTTCAGTATCATCAACGCTTCTACAAGGGCATTTTTCACTATTCCTAAGAAATAATACAAATGTAAATTAATTTAAGCAAAACAAGAGTGATGATGACAACCACTATTCTTTAGAGTGATAAGTGGTGGCAATTGTAACCACCATTGTTCTTTTCAAATAAATGACACTTACATGTTTAGATCTATTATGGAGCTTTTGAATTTTCTTTTATTTTTAGAAAAAGACATGTTGATATTTTTTGAATAAAAGATATAGATTTGATCAACATCACATCACATAGGACCCCAAACAATCTTAGGAGATGGTACATTTGAAAAAATACCCACTTTATTACCATTTTTGGAAATAATTTATAAGGTCATCACAAAATTTATCCTAATTAAGAAACGATATTCGATTTTGAGGGCCATCTCTACCCAAAATTGAAATGTACCATCTCCTAAGATTGTTTGGGGTCCTCATCACATATGATGTAAGTCATTTAGTCCCACAACTTTTTATTGGTCATGTAGATTTTCAAATTCTCCAAAAATGGAAATGCAATAAATTTTCAAATTTTTATTTTGTTTCAATTTGTTTATTTCATTCAGGGATTTTACCAAATTTGGAAATCGATTTCAGCCTCATTCATCGATCAATTCATATATGTAGCAAATGAATTAACGTGATACTTCCACTACATATTGATAAAAAAAAATTATTAAAAAACCCCTATTAATAATAATTGAAATATATATTATTCAACTTTCTCTTTCATAATCTGTTAATAATCTGTTATAATCTGTTAAGCTGTTCAAAGTATGTTTTTACTAAAAATCAAGGAATTTTACATATCAGAAGAGGGTTTTTTTAAAAAGAAAAATTTTTTTTTCTAATCTTTAGTGAATAAACACCAATACTGCCTGTTAACACTTTACCTTGCCTATTTGCTATGTTTATTCAAGAATACAAGTTGAGCCCATGTGAAACTAAAAGTGATCAAACTTGGAGGCAAGCCTCAGGAAGCAAAGTAGTTGGGTGTGTAAATATATTTGCTAAGTATATTACTGATTTATCTTTATTAATTAATTCTTTAAACATGTACTCTGTTTGTGAAAAACATTTACAACCAAATTATTGTGACTAACAATATTCTTGAAAAATTAAAAGCAGAATATACTTCTACTCCCAGCTCTTCAGAAGAAAACCAGCAAAAAAAACTTAAGTTGACTATTGATAATGATGCTCAAGGACAAGCCAAAGATTACACAAATCTTTTATTAAAATTAAAAGAAGTAAAAAAAAAATTGATTGATTTTGAATACCAAAAAGTTCAATATTCTGAAATTATTATTGAAAACAAGCAAAGAATAATTGAATTGGAGTTGCTGAATGAATTATTATTGTCAGAAAATAATAAATTAAAAGAGAAATTGAATTCAAGATTCATTGATCAAAGATCAAGAATTGAATCTATAGTTGAAATTGCCCAACAAGAACATAAAAATTTATATGAAGATATCATTAATTTAATTGATGATCATAAAAGATTTACTTTGGATAGTCTTTTAACATATTCACCTTCAGAATGGCTTGCTAAACACAATCCAGTTATTGTTAAATTTATAGAAGCTCTTATTTACAATGAAAACAAAGATCAACATAAAGGTGAAAAACTTTTCAAATGTGCAATGGTAGTAGATGCTATCTATGGTGCAAGGAATTTAAAATATGTTTCTGCAATAAATTTAGCTGCCTCAGCAATCAAATATTCTTTGGCAAAATCTAAAACAGTTATTGATATTGATAAACATACTTTGAGTTCTGGCAGCTTTTCAAAATTTCTCAAATGGCAAGAAAGCTTGGCTGAAAAATCAAACCCTTTCCCCAAAGGTTTAACATTTATGGCATTTGATAATGAACAAAAAGTACAAAAAAATTACTTAGATTGTGGTTATAATGCTGTTACTTTTCATACTGTTACAAGTTTTGTTTCTTTCAATTTTGATCCTAATAATCAAATACAAGCTCTCAAAGACCTTTGGTTATATGAGACATTAAATTCATCACAGATTGAGGAACTTTTTACCATTACACCAGAAATTCAATAATTACTTGATCAACAGCTTTATGATTATCTTTCCATTATCATAAGTGAAGCTTCTGAAGAAAAAAATCAAATGATAAATCCTATTGATGATCTGGTGGATAATCATAGTTCAAATATAGGAAAACAAAAAAGGTGTAGTAAATGTGGTATGAAAGAAATAAAAAATTTAAAGCATAATATCCTCAGTGTAATACACCATTGCCTACACTTTCAGAGTTCCAAACAGATACACAAGAAATAAATCAAGTAACATCCGACAAAAATGACACAAATCTTTAATTATTTAAAATTATATATTTGGAGAAAAAGCATCAGAAGTTAATATGAATCCAATTAGTATAACCCAAAAATCTGTGCCTGAGAAAGGTGTCAATGTACCTGATATTATTGTTCCTGATCCTTTGCCAGTAAACCCAAACTCCATTATCAATGTTCATAAGGTTTTGGATCACATACAAGAGATCAGTGGAGTTAACAAAGGAGAAAGAAAATGGATTGCTGTTGTGTGTGATGGAGTTCCTTACTATCTTGCACAAAAAATCAAAAAAGATTATCCAGGAATTATCTTGCTGCCTGGACTTCTTCATAAAGAGATGAATATGTTAAAATCTTTTGTTGAATTGAATTGGTATGTTTTAAATAAATAATATTTAATAATTTTTATTCCATATATGTATATGTATATATATATACAGTCAAACCTTGTCACAACAAATTTTGTCACAACAAATTTTTGTCACAGCGAATTTTGAGATTTTTTTTTTTTTTTAATAATAAAAAACTTTTGTTACACTGAATTTTATTAATAAATCGCATTATACCGACAACAAAGTTTTGGTAGAGATTTTTTGATATAGCAGTCAAACGATATGTCACAGGAAGTGTAAATTACATACATAAATAGAAAATCCGACTCGTGTAACAAATCAGTTTTTTAAAATATCTCATTATTTTTATAACAAATACAAACATCAT